TTATTGTTATTGTTATCGATAAGTAATAAGATTCGTTTCTTATCATGGAAGTGACTTTGTTTTGGTACAAAACCGAAGCTACCCAATTGGGGCTCCACAACTTTATCATTTCTATTCATAAACGCTTTGTGCACAATTCGCGTTTCAAGGACAGGCCACGCCTTGGCCCAGAGCACATATCAAATAGATATACATACGTATATATATACATATGGCTAATAATATGGAAACTGAATTGCTTTTGTTATGGAACAAGCTGTTGGGCCCATAGAATCTGGTTTAGGCCATGATTTTGATTGTGCACTTGCCGCCAGCTGTGCGCCTCATATTTCTGCTCTGTGAAAATCAGACTTTTTATGCGCTGCATCATAAAGACAGTGCCAAATGCAAGGAAAATAAAATATTGAAACAAAAAAAACAAGGCAGGTGGGCGTGGCTCATAAAAAGAAAAAACAAAGCAACTTAAATGCAAGATAAGCACTTTATATAGCAGCGACAAGTGACGTGGAAAAAAGTAATTTATCTGCCAAGAATATAAGAGAAATTACAGGCACGCGACTCTCAAATGTTGGGCCCAAACACCCACACCCTTACCCACGCCCACACCCACACCCGCCCACACCCACACCTGCACACACTTGCTCGTGCCATAAAAAATGCATGAACAAATTCTTGAGGGCATGCGAACACCGAAATGTTGCTCACTTTTGGGTGAAACGTGAAGAACGAAAATGATTTCCAGCACTTGAAATTGGAGTTTTATTTTTGGGTGCCTTTGATTGGGACATTCGCTGAATTTCGAATTTCGAATATCCGTGTTTGCTGTTTTATGGCCGGAAATCTCATTTACTTGCGGTTTAAGCAAATAGCACCAGTTTAATAGACTTTTCATTAGCCAAAGTGCCAGGTAAATGAACCCCAGAAATAGCAGCTAAGAAATGGGTTTGCATCGCATAGCAAAATATCCATTAATAATACGAAAATGATTAATGGATATATAACAGCAAAAATTTCATATAGTTGTAAGTCGACTTTAGATATAGAGGAAAGCAAATGTTTTCCACTCTTATTTAACATATTTGTTATATTTATATGCATATACTTTAAGTGGGAGCGATTAGTTTGCATAGAAACTCAAGACCAGACTTTGTTCTCTATTGACTCAGCTGTTTAACCTGATCACAAATAGTATAAATACTTTTGAAAGTCGATGACGTTGCTCTTGAAGAAACATATTTCGTATCAAGATTAACGTTATACAAATGTTTTTTTTTTATTTTTTTTTTTAATTTTACTTGAAAATTAATATTGCTCTACATAAACATTAATAAGATAAGGCATAGGAATACTGAATGTTTTAAATATAAATGCATATAATTTTCTATAGCTCAAATCCCGCTTGGGACCAAGCGGAAAGAGATGTATTATGCCCATCAAATGCCATCAAGACCAATTCCCGTTACAATCTTGCCGAACTTTCTTGCAATTTATGTGAGTTTTTACACACCCACTCACACACACACACACATCTACATGTACCTAACCCTGGCTCTCTTAACATTTGTTGCCAATTTTACACGCCATAAAAATTGCACCTTTCCCCTAAGGGGGAGAAATTTGGAAGAACCAAACTCAAGAAATCAATGTGCCCTCTCCCGGCCGAACTACCATCCCCAGCAAAGCGGCAGCAGCAGCCCCCAATTGGCAAAAACCACAAATATGCATAATTTATACAAACACAAGAGAAAATCAACTCCCCCACACACACACACATAGTCACCCCCAAACACATACACGCATACGCAATCAAATGAAATCCATATTGACAAAGCAGCCGTAAGGAGCGCGGCAGAAAGGGAGAGCAAATGAAGTGCTACGTGTGAGAGGAGTACGGCATAGACACAGCGCCGAGCCGTCTGCACATAAATAACTAAATAATTGTTTCAATAAAATTAAATTCTAAGCTTTAGATGATTGCGCTTACCTTAGACATAACGGTTTGCTATGTTGATGCTCGCAAAAAATAAGAGATTTTTTGCTTCCTTTTGCATAAAAAGAAAAGCCGACGGCCTTTGGTCAAAGACTAAAGCTTTTGTTGTTGTTGTTGCTTTGGTTGTAGTGAATTCGCCTTTCCAGAAACTGCGTCGTTGTTGTTGCTGCTGCGGCGGCTGCTGGGTTTGAGCTTGGCGCTTGCTCTTGCTCAAAGGTTGATAGTAAATAACAAAAAACAAATAGCAGCAACAAAATACTAATAGCCCAGCTAATTAGTTTTTAGTTAATTATCAATAATTTGTGTGCCAAGTGGAGTGTTGTTTTCGTTTTGCTTTACTTTTGCTTTTACTTCACTTTCACACGCCGAAAGAATTCGCGCCGTTTCTTACGTCGCTGATTTTCGCTTCTCCTAATTTGTAACGGTAAAATCCTAACTGCACAACACACACACAATCACACGAACGCGCACTCACACACTAAATTTCGCGCACGTAATTAGTACGGGACCTGTTAAAAAGCAATTTGGGTTTCAGCACAATTCTTAATGTTTTTTTTTATTAATGAAATTTATTATATTTACTTTGTATTTAAATCTATTGATTTTTTGGCGCGTTCATTTGCCTTATTTTTCTAACCTCCGATGGTATTACAGTTTATGCTCGCGTTTGAACGATGCGTCTCCACATCCTACGAACAGAACGATTCACCGGAAACTGAATCTGAAATCGCGGTAGTGTGACCTGAACACCAAAAGCGCAACGGTGGTATTTTTTCGGAAAAATGCGAAGAGCTTAAATTTGCCCGTCTGAAAATACCGAACTTAGCTTAAAGTTGCAGTGGCAAAGCTAGGGAGAATATTTATAAAATTAATAGTAGGATATACATATTAAGTAATTATTAAATACAAATTGAATACATAGCAAAATTGTAATAGCATGTTTGCTACGATCAGGATAGCTTTTAAATTGCATTCAAAAAGCGCGCCTTCTTGCTTCCAAGGGCTGGTAACACTGCCGCATGATTCTGCTTGCATTTAAATCTGCATAAAACACTTGAAATGCAGACAAACGCCTTCATTACAGTTGTTTATTCATATGTATTACAATTAAAGCCTTTTAATTAACTATAAAATGTTGTTTCGAAGCAGGGCTTGCTCCGTATACATTTAAGCATCAATCGAGTACTTAGCGAACTGGCACCCAACTTTCCAAAACGTCGGCGTACTTCTTGCGATCTTGAAAGTGAAATATGAGAATAGTTTTCAATGAATCTGTAAAGTTTTAGCAACAAAATTAATCTCACCTGTCTTAGGGAAGTCCTCGGGATGCAGTTCAACGTAATGCCGAAGCACGGCGTCGCGCTTGGCCAGATACTCGTCGCGCTTGTTATCCAGGTAGTAGCCAGCTCCGCCGCCGATGAGTGTAAACAAAATATGCTTTTGAATGCCTGTACATAAATTATAATTAGTTATTACATATTTAAAACAGAAAAACAATGTTACGTCACAGTCGTGCGTCGCAAACTTACCAGCGAGAACAGGCTTACGGAAGCCCCAGTTGATGAATAGTGCAGCGCCGAAACCGCCTATGGCGCCGGCCATTGGATTCCATATTGGCGACAAGAATGTAGGCTGCCGGTTACCTTTATTTGTTAATATTTCCAATGGATCGTAGACTGCCGGATCGCCCATGTTGACAAAATTTCACAGCTAAAAAAATGTGACCAGTTGGGGAAAACAGCAATATATATAGCTTCTCAGCAAATGTCAGCTGTTTATCGAGTGTACACTAAACACACTTCGCCTGCGGTATATCGATAAAGAGAAGGCAGTATAAATGTGTGGTGTGGCCAGACTGCCATAAAAAGTAATTAACTGCTTGTTTACCAAAGACCAGCATAGTCAAGCAGTAATTAGAGCAAAGTAGAGGGCCATGGATTAAACAATAAAGCAACTAATGCTGTCAGCTGCATATGTAGTGTGTTTAGCGATGCCAGATCTAGCTAAATGAAATGTTTTTTCTTGTCTTTATTTTACGTTAAATTTTCAAAATTCTATTACAATAGTTTTACATAAAACAGCGCTGCACAAAGCTCGCAAAAGGCAATTCAAAACAGTGTGTGTAAGGCATTGTAACTGTAAACTTTAAGGCAACATTTTACTGTGTTTTGTTTTGTTTTCAATACTTCCAAGCTAAACTAAAAATTTTGTTTTCATTTGATTTTTTCTGTTAACATAAAACAATGAAAGCGCAAGTAAAATGTGTTTAGGCACAATTATTACATGTATATAAATATACTAGTGTTTTTTCCACGCATTTAAGCCATTAATTTACAGCTTATACATAAATATATATATGTATATGTATATCAATATTATTTCTACAAGTAGTTTAGAAGGCAAAACTGTTTTTTGTTTTATTTCAAAAAATTAAGTCATTAAAACTACTTATAAACAAAATGGGAGTTTTTCGGCACAAATAAAGAAAATCATTGACGAGATTTTTTTAAAAAAACCAGCGAAAAAAATTGTTCTGCTTTTCTTTTTGCAAATAAACTAGAATATATAAAAAAGAAAGCAAAAATATAAACTAAACTAAGGCAAACGTGTATTAAAATTAAATTTTCCTTTTTTGTTTTGTTTTTCTTTTTTCAAATTGTACTTAATCATAAACAAGATCATCAATTAGTTAAGCGTAACTTTTGTGTTGTTTTCCTTTAGTTTTTAAGAAATGTATTGCATAAAAGTTGTTTAAAACTTGCCCTACATAAGTATTTTCAAAATATATATATATATAATTATACCTTTATGTATATATATATATTTAGTTAGGTTTATTCTGTTTGCTTTGCTATTCTTTTAAAGCAATGACACATAAGTAGCACTTGAAATAGATTTGAACAACATTTGCCAATCGGGCATATATCATTATATATAATAGTAAATAGTTACATATTTATATATATATATAGGTGTGTATATATATAGATCAAATTGTAGTTAGTTTTTCTTTTGCTTGCTTGTTTGCTTCAACATAGTTTTCAATTTGTTGCATAAGGAATGACATTCGCATAGAAAATCATATGTTTAAACTATAAAATAGATAAGTATGTGTAGTTGGGCGAGAGGCGGGTTGAGTAGCTGTCTAATATATAACTAGTTATATATCTTTCTTTATACATATATATCTATCTTTATATATATATATGTGTGTAAGGCATATATATCCACACACACACGCACACATAACTAAAACACGTCTTTTAGCATAGCTCACTATGCCCGCAGGTGTGCGTGTGTGTGTGTGTGTTTCTGTGTCTGTATTTGTTATTTCCTTTCTCCAATCGATTCCCTCTTTTCTTTTCTCAAAGTTTCCCCGATTTTGTCTTTAGGATACGGAACTTATTGCATTATGCGGCGACCCCATCTGTGTGAGCACCTTGTCCAGCCACTGCAGCGGCCCGTGTAAATGTATCTCAATCCAACAGGGCGTCGATGTCACATCCTGCCGATGGTATTCGGCTCCCCAGCCCTTCACGAATGACATGCGGATCGTGCACATTTTCGTCAGCTCATAAACGGCCTCGAAGCCATTGTTCACCGATTGCGACAGCAGTTGAGCAAATTCCTGATTGTTGAAGATCTTCAATGAGCAGCCCGGCGGTATTTTGCAAACGGTGCTCGGATGGAAGCCATGGTGATAGTTACAGTTGCGCGACTGTACAAATATCGCTGAATCGGACAAGCATTCGGCATAGACCTCGCCGGTTACGTAGTACAGATGAACGCCTTTACCTAAAAAATGTAAATTAATATAATCATTATCAATATATTAATATAAATTTTAACTTAATGTAACCACGTACCTATGTGACGGCGTGTATTCTCTATGGTACTGTTGCGATTGACATTGCTCAGCTGGCCGAGGCAGCAGCGATCGGAGTTGTTGGATGGATTCGTGAAGCCGTCGACAATCACCGAATTATTATTGCAGTGGAACACCTCGCCGACACGGCAGTTGAGCTCATAGTAGGCAATGGATGCCCAAAAGGCCGGCTCCGAGTAGCTAACCTGAGCCACATCGCCCATCTGGGCGTCGAGCATTTGTGTGCCATCGTTCGGATTGTTGGAGTTGCCATCCTCGGAGGGGCTGTAAGCGGGCGGCGGTGTACCAGCCAGGCTCTCGTACGGTGAATTCGGATTGGAGTTCACGGAACTGGGGCTGCCCACCGAGGTGTTGCTATTGCTGAGACTGTGCGAGTTGAAGCCGCTGTTCGAGTAGCTCACATTGTGCGGCATACTCGGCTCGGCCATCTGATTGAACTGGAGCATCGAGTGACCCGGCGCGAATTCCGAGTGACGCGGCACTAAAACTGGCGGCAATACTGGACTCTCCACGCGCTTGTAGTGATACGGATTGATGCAGACCTCCTTCTGTTTGGCGCTGAACGGATATTGGCATAATTCGAGCGGTTTCAGTTCGTGATGCGACTGTAGATCCGGCCAGCGCCAAACGCGGCAATAAATCACATGCGGCAGGCCTTTGCGATGAGATACCTGAGTGGGGCAAGAATAGAAGAAACGGATTAAATCATTGAATTGAAAATTTGAAAATGCTAATGACTGTTTAAGTAACAGTTAAACTGTTAACTTTTAGTACAAGCAATATGAATTTGAAAGAAAGACAATTCTTGGGTATATTCATTTAAATTATACTACTTAAACTACTACTTCGTACATCTGCGCTTTATTTACTCTGTATCTATTATATCACTAATGTCATATGCCTAAATTATAAAATATATGTATATATGAGTACTACTGTATCTACTACTATTTACTATCACTTACCGAAACATACTATTTTCGACCATAACTAAACTAACCCTAACTAATTTAATCTAACATAGTTAATACTACTATTTTTTACTATACTACTTTTATTTATCTTTAGTTGCTACTACTATTATGTATACTAGTATTTCTCTATTAGTACTATTTAATCTACTACTTAATGCTTATTTCTACTACTATTTGCGTAAGCAGTAGTAACTGTAGAGTTACTACTATATCTGCTACTATTTGCATATCTTTACTACTATTTATCTACAGTTACTACTATATCTGCTACTATTTGCATATTTCTACTACTATTCATCTATTGTTACTACTATATTCACTGCAAATTGCATATTTCTTCAACTAATACCTACATCTTCATCTACTATATATCTAAAGGCTCTACAGCATTTACTACTAATTTTACTAACTAAACTATCTGCCCCTATTTCCGATACCTTATATATATATCTTATATATATATATATCTTTAGCTCTTGCTCCCCTTTCACTCTTACCTGTAATCGTCCATCGAGCGATCGTGGTATGGTCACACACTTGGATGGCTGACCGGGGCAGGATAGGGCACGTTCTAGTTCCTCGATGGCACCTTTACGCTTCTTGAGCTTCTTTACCAAACTGTCGACGGCCTTCTCGGCCCATTTCTCCTCCTCATCGCCCTGTTTCCAGCCCAACAACTTTTTGACGGCCGGCGATTGGAATGAGAAGAGGGTGCCCAATGTGGTAATGGCGCTGCTCGTGTTCGACTCGACATCATCGGTGTCCATTCTGTGGATGTGTTGGTGGTGGTGGTGGTGGTGGTGGTGTTGGTTGTTGCTGCTACTACTGCTGTTGTTGTTGTTATTATTATTGTTGTTGTTGATACCACTACTACTGTTGTTGTTGTTGTTGTTGTTGTTTTGGGGTGGAGTTACCCGATAACCGGTATAACTATCAACGGGCGGATAGTCTGTGAATAGACCAATGCAAATACGTTAGACATACAACATGAATTTACATACGCACACACACATCAATATCAATAAAAGTGATATACACATATGTATATATATAAAGCCACGATTAGATTGGATTTAAGCAACGCCCACAATAGACTTGGCCATGTGCCCAGCTTCAAATGAAGTCGTTGTCTGATTGATTGAAAGGGGAAGCCAAAGGAGGGGTCTCAAATGGTTGTTGTTGCTGTTGCTGTTGCTGTTGCTGCCAGGCACAAATCATGCTTGACTCCGCCCCCTCCGCTACACTGATCAAGGTCGGCGTCCATTGCATGCAAATCGTTAAATTTAATTTCTATATCTCTATACTGAAAAGAATAATACTCTCTAGAGATATGAATCGGCAAATGCAAAATACACAAGTGTTTTTAATAAGAATTCATTTTCATATGGCTTGGAAATTATTTTATTTTAACTAATTAATAAGAATTCAGTTTCAAGGGAGAGACTTTTATCTCACATCTGACGTCAGTTGCCAACACACAGAGAGAAATGACAAAACGTATTCAAATCTCATTGGACAGTGGGCGAGAATCTAATAAGAAAAGTGCAAGTGCCAATTAGAATGAGGAAACAAGATTGCAATTCCTATTTGTCTAACAAATAAACTGTAAAATATATCCAAATTGTATTGGACTCTATGTAATTCCAATAAGAATTCGACAGCTTAAAAAAGTGTTGACTAACGATTTGAATTTATTGAAGAAACTCAAAGATCTTTATAAATATTAAATACGTTTTATCGATTAATCGTTTTTCAGTTGTATTACTCTTAAACCATAGCTAGGCATCAATTTATATTCACGTATTTATCAAAATACATTTTTACCAATTTTAGTTAATAATTTATTGAAATATGCCAATAGCTTTGACGCTCACACTGACTCACTTCATTTCGATTTGCTTTGCTGTGCTTTGCTCATGCACAAGGCAAATTAATTTTATGCTTGAGAAATGCCAGTTTTATGGCCATCTTCGAGGCAAGTGTGACTCGAGAGGCCGGGCCAGTGAAATAAGTCGCTGACTCATTGTAATGATCCAAAATACAAAATACGAAAAATCACAAATTAAGTTAATAGCTATTTATTGGCTGGCTAACGTAAAGTACCTGCTCATATATTATATTTTAATCTATTCGACGAATTATATATAGTAATAATAAAGGCATGTGACGTATTGTCCCCAATTGAATGGAACTTCTAAGAATCTTTTTAACGACAGCTTTTATGAGGTGCTCGAATTTATTGTGGTTTCTCAAAAACATGAGAGTAAACAAAGGGTTTTTGTGGAGGAGTTTATGGTACCAAAGCTTAGAGCAAGTGAATAGATTTTGTAGGGCTGATTTGGAAGAAGTACACAATCATTTATTGAAGACAATAGAAATTCTGTGGTAAGGAACAAGAGTTGTGACTAATAGAGCAAGAGCTGACAATAATAATAGTAATACATAATGCCAAATTCTTGGAATAAATAATCTATTATTTTATTTTGCTATTACCATGAGCAAGTGGTTAATACATATATTAATTAATACATTGAATTAATGGTAATAGTAAAATCAGTGATATTACTAATAATAATATTACTATTAGTAATTTCAATGATAATGCTAATAGGAAAGAAAGATGCTAACATTAATGCTAATATTAATATTAATACAACTATATTATATAATATTTATGATCATCATTGGGCTTAATTTTTAGTATTTAGTATTTAGTATATGAAAATGCAAGTACTAGTGCCAATATTAATAAATAAACCAATTTCTTATATCAATTCTATCTCATATACCAATACTCCATTTAGCTCTACTTCTAAGCCCCCTTTGCCCCACTGTGCGAGCCACAGTAAAGTGCATTACCGATCAGCTCGACGTACATCATAATTAGCACATGGCAGAGATAACACCATGAGCCAATGTTCTGTGCAACTTGTCAGCACCAAAGCGACGCCCGTTTGCCCCACCAGCCATCCCATCCATGGTACACCCCTCGGCCACTATTGACCGGGTACGCATTACTGTTAACGGTAAAGACAACAATTCCATTTGAATTATGACATTTCAATGCAAACCGCATTACTCAAAGAAAATACAGCTAAGGCAAAGTATGTGCTATCTCCCTCCCTCTGCCGCTCTGTTGCTTTGGATGACAGCTGATACAATTTAATAAAAGTGAGAAAATCTAATTGAAAGAAAATTTGTTGTAGCAATTAATTTCGATTTCATTTTCAACGATTTTTATTTTATTTTTATTTTTTTTTTCACTTGGGTTGGCAAATTTGAAATCCAATTTCAAAACCAATTAAATGCCGACAATAAATCAACAAGTGCAACACTTGGGGACACCTCCTAACACGCCTCACACACACACACACATACATAGATGCACATGTTGGCCAAATTAGCCGCCGCGTGAATTAATTTTCAACATTTTTCTGTGGCCTACGCGGGGCGTTGCCCGTTTTTATTTTTTTTAAGTTTTTTTTTATGTTGTATGTTGACAATTTGTTTGGTTGCTGCCACAATTTGCGGCCGCCCCAAAAAGTCAACAACGCCTCAGGGTATCCCCCTGTCAACTAACTACTAAGCCCCCCCTACAACTCCACTACCCCCCGCTCACTTGTAATTATCGCAATATTTGAGCAGCTGGCAAGAGCCTTGCATAAAACCTAAATTGGTGCTCCATCGACTCGAGCTGCGCGTGTGTGTGTGTGTGTGTAAGCATTCAAATTTTCTATAATTGACCCCTCTGAGGCGTACCTCACACTCCCAATCAACGAGCCGTTCTGCAGGTGTTGGACTTTTCGACTTATTGACAAAGTTCATTGTTGGTTTTACGGCGTATTTCATAAGAACAGCCCACCGACTTGCCACAGCTGCTAATCTTCAAAAAAAAAAAAGGGGGAGATTTTCAATGCAAATAAATAAAATACCATCGGGCCTTATTGATTATTTATATTTACAAGAGGTAAATAAAGTAAATACTTGGAAGACATAACTCATATACAAAACATTTTTTAGAAATTCTCCAGAGAACTATGAAGAGACCACAATGTAGTTCAAAACTAAAAGATAGAGAATACTTTTATTTATTATAAAGATAGGTTATAAATGAAAGCTCTATATAATAATATAGAGAGTGCTCTATACCTAGAATTATAAAATTTGATTTGCCTTTAACTGTTCTAAAGCTGCTAAAACAAGAGAAGCCTCAATAATACTTTAAGATTTCATTTTTTACGAAGAAAACTATTATAAAAGTCCGCAACAATCCCAGTATAAAAATAGACTAAATGATAAACCTATATATGTTATATATCCCTAGTCCCTTACAGTTATAATATAATAATGTGTATAGCTTATTAATCAATTAAATAAAACATTTATCGTCCCCAAGTCTATAATAATAGTAAATGCAACATTGTAATAAATGTAGAAGAGACTTTTCAATAATCTTAACTCGTCTTAATTTATCATTAGGCTCTACGAAGCACAATTGACTTCCTTTAAAGCTTCTTTCAGCAAGCATTTACAACATTTTTATTGAGCCGAACTGAGCTGAGCTGGGCTGAGCCCAGTCACCAGACTGACAATAATTCGCGACTACAATTAAAGAGCAATAAACGTAAACTTCAATTACAAATTAACCCCGTCTGATCGATAAAATGCGTGACAAGAGAGAGAAAGAGAGAAGCGAGCACGCACTACACGGGGCAGCTAGTAAAGTTCCAGGGATTCCTTACAGGGAAAATCTTAACAACCTAACTCATAACTCAAACGACGACGCATCGTTCCACTGCCGAGTGAAGCCCGCAACAATTCGCAGGAGTCGGGCAGCAGGAGTCACAGATTTTGTATTTTGTATGGCAGGCACGCATTCGCGCATGCGTATCATATAATTCCAATCAATAATCAATCATAAATGCGGCAATGACAATAAAGCGTAAATCAAAGAGAGCCAGGTAGATCGAAAGAAATGCAGTAGCCAAAGTCAGAGCGAGATGCCCACAGCAAGAGTGAGTGAGTGTGCGTGTGAGAGCGAGAGGAAAGACCAAGTTATCGCAACGCTTCCGTTGCCATTGAAAAATGTCAAAAAACGAAGACGGAGGACCTGCGCATGTGTGAATGTGTATGTGTACGTGTACGTGTGCGTGCGTGTGTGTGTGTATGTGCATATGTGGGGACATGTGTTTAAAAATAAACAAATAATGCAAGCGAACACAGCGCAATGATGATAAATTACAAGCCAAAAGGCAGAGCAGAAGCAAAGTTTGATTTGGTTGGGAAAAGTCAAGAAATTAGATAGACGAGAAATCAATAAAACAAAAATAAATAGAAATTATAATTAAACAAAGTGTAGTAGTGTTGTGTGCCCGACTAGTAGATACTACTTGGCACAAATTTAAAATTGATAAAGGTGAGATTCGATTAAAACCAAAAGGATATAATTAAATATTAAATGATAAAGCGGAATGCAATTAAATAATTTTGTTTGCTTCATTGCTGAATGTATGGAATTTTCGTAAATATTTCCAATCTGAAATATTTCCAATTCCACATTTTTTTTCAATAAAACAGAAGTCAAGAGTAGAAGGGTTAATATTAGAATCCATGAAAAATATATTGACGTAATCTTTATAAATGACCCATGTAGGCCAATAACTATAAAATCTTACACCGATAAATATCGATATTCAACATTTTCATTATACACAAGAATTAGTAAACCCTACAATTACAATTACAACTACAACTAAGTTCCCTAACTCAAGTACAGGGTATACTTATCAATAGCAGAAACCAAAAAAATATCAAACATACACATGATGAAAGAGTGGACGAAGAAAGAGAGCTCGGACTTGGTAGCTGTTGCTGTTGCTGTGTGTGGTTCTTCACGGTTCTCCGATGGTTGCGGCGACGGCGTTGGAGATGGCGACTTCTGCTGCGCTTGTTGTTTCTCTGCGCTTGTTGACGTTTAATGGCAAAGATTGCAGATATTATTCTTATTTATTTATACTGCACGGCACACGCACCAGCACACACGTACACGTACACGTATACAAACACATACACAGCCACTCACGCTCACATACACGCATACCAAATCTATAAAATCAGCATCCAAATGTTATGCGAGACCCTCCACACAGGCGGCCGTATTTAAATTACAACAAACATATACACACAACGGACGACAGTCAACGGAGTTACATTTTTCGTTCAACGAGCTTTTCAGTTAATTTGATTAAATATTATTGTTATTATTGTTTATAAATAAGTGCGCGTAATATTCGCATACAAAAGTTCATTCAATAATTTGAGATCGAAACAGCAGCAAGACGACAAAATGAACCCCGCGAAGCGCAAACAAAAACACAACTGAACGAAGCGAACGATCGACGACGAATGTGAAGCGACCGAGCGAACGAGAACAAGCTGAACGAAGTCTCTGAGCACGAGCATCTGAGTATCAGGGCTGGGTGTGTGTGTGTGTAAGTGTGTATGCGAACAGGAGCAAAGTAACTATCGTCTAGTTAAAATTACATTGTAATCGATAGCTACGATACGGTCTCAAGCCTTACCTATGAATTTTTGTAGTGTAACAAATGCAAAACAGGCAGCGATAGTTGCCGAGTGTGCAGCCCTGGTTTTGACTAACTGCTGAGTGACGTATTGTGGTTGCCTGCCGCCGTTTGTGTAGAAAAACCACAAGCAACACACCAACACACACACATACAATTCTTATTTTAAACAAATCAAAAGTATTTAATGTGAAGGGGTGAGCTGGGGGCGCCAAGCTGCCCTGCACGTGAACACAAACGTGTGGGCTGCAATCAAACTGTAAATGCTGCCACAACAAGTGCAGGGTGCACAATAAGAGTGAGAGAGCGAGGGGGCAGAGCATTTAAATCGAATGAACAAAATTCTTGCACGCCGCGTTGCCAACCAAAAGCTATTTGGTCAAATTGCAATTTGGCGTTGCCAGATATGTGTGCTGCTGTTTGGCGTTCGAGGCGCGGGGCGCCACTCTTAATATTGCCTAGTTTTATTGCGTGTTTAACACTACTAAACGCGAATTTATAGCCAACATGGGTAACATAACGCAGTTGTCGTAAAAACCGAAAATAGTCATGAAGCGCACCCCCACACAAGAAACAAAAAACAA